GTCGAGTACAGATGACATCTTATGTGCAGTGGAATCTGTACCATGAAAATCAAACAGGCAAATACAGAAAATTTCGCAAGTGCCCTTTGTGGATTGAACTGATAAGAGCAAACTATGGCACATACTCAGGAGTGACACAGAGTGTTCAGTAAATTGCCTCTGTCTGGAGGCATGGATAGAGTCCCTTACCTATAGCAATGAAAAGTGAAAAGAAATTCTCCTGTTTATAAGAATTTGCATCTTGCTACATAAAGCAAGAGCATATCTGGGTTTTGATGGGTGCCATGGCAACAGTGTTACTGGAGTATAGCATAGGAGCATTTTTGGAGAGAGGGAACAGGATGAAACAAAAAGCTCACTGGTTATCTGTGGACACAAGGGCTTTTGCTGCAGACCCAAAGACAGATTCTCCTTCTTCTTGTTCCTGGGTGGCTATTTACAGTTGCCACCACGTTCATACTTTCACTTTATACTGCGGTTGTCCAGAAATAATGAAAAAAGGGAAAAACCTGCTACAGCTATAGGGACAGATCTTAAACATAGTTCAGAATTCCATTATATTTGCATCACTTAAAGGAGAAGAACAATGCAGAACTACTAAAACCACTATGGTTACTAGCAAAGAACAAAACCACAGGATTACATGTTCAGTAAAACCTATGCTTAAGTAACATAATTGCTTTAAAAGTATGCATGTAGAGGACAACAGATAACCATGGCTCTGCTTTTGTTCTGAAATAACTCATTTCAGTACATTTCACCTAGGAGTGAATGTTCCACCTTTTTTGAGATCTGCAAAACACCTGCAATTCTTTTTTAATTCAGATATTCTAGTGTCAGTAAAGAAGTATTGAAACTGGAACCTCATTCATGCAAGCTTATGTGCTCTGAGATTTGTGTGCAAAGAAAATAGCTTAACATTAACAAATGGCAATATAAAATAATACCTACTGCAATGGCGGGGGGGTGGGGTGGGGGAAGGGGAAGCATTAGAGGGAAGTCTTAGCATTTTCTTTACTTTAGCAATTGACCAGAGCCACATCTCTAGGTCTCTGCATACAAAGCATTATTCAGCCTCTTGCCGATGCAGAAACAGTTGAAATACCTGAGAAACAGACTTTCATTCTCTAATTCCAAGTTTATTTAGATTAACTCCAGTTTATTTAGATTCTGATTTCTTAACAAAAATCAAACTCTTGCAATGTACTTTTAGTCCCTCTTTCCGAGTCACTTTTCAATGTCTTGGACAATTTGAGAGCAAGGTGGAAGTTTTAAAGAGAGTTCCTGGATGTTTCTTGTGAATGAGTGGCTGGAATATTTCATACCTTTTGAGTTAGGGCTCAAAAGTGTTTTTGGACATAAGCAAATCCAAGCAGGAGAGAACTACAGGTCATCAGGGTCTGCAAATCCAGCTACTTATGGAAACAATTTGCTTTTCCAAACACTCACTGTTCTCAATCTGCATTACTTCACAAACTTTGTTTCCCTTTTGCTCAGATGGTACTAGTTTATTTTCTGCTCACGCAAGAGCCTTCTTGATCCTTGCAGCCCACATCTTCTGCCTTCCTGTTTCTTGCTCTCATTTTAGATCTGTTCACACATCCTGCAATGCTTAACATCATCCTTGGGCCAGCGAAGTTTGCTATATAACTTACATTTGTAAACCCTTCTTGACAATGTTTTCTTATTGATTGTGTGATACATGATAATGATCTGAGCTCGTCACCCTTTTGTATGTGAATATCTTTCAGGTGACCTGGAGGATTCAAAGGATGAACAGTATATGCATTATTCTCAAGGAAAAATTTACCAGATAAGCCAGCTTTATCATGGCATTTTACTGTTTTGTAATAAGGTAAGATTTATGAATCAAAAAATGTCTAACAGCAAGCAGCATGTAAAAAACAGAATCATAAAAGGCAGTATCTCTTTCTTTGAGATTAGCAGGACAAATACTTAAGTCCAGTATTTCATAGTTCAGAATGAAGGAAAGATTTGTATGGATCTACTTTTCAGACTTCTTTGTGGCCTAGGAATAAAATATGATGCCTTCATACAAGAATCTGGTCAAATATATGGTTGCACTGTGCAGCTGAGTCCACTGTCTTTAAGTCATAGCTACATAATTAGTCTAAGCCCTATACTTGCTTTATCTTCTTTAACAAGCCTTCAGCAATTTAGTTTACTTAATAAATTACCTATTTTCACTTCACACGGGGTTGAGAACCTTGGCCTTGCTACGGATCAGATACACCCTTGAAATACCTTTAGTGAGTCAAACACCGCAGCAAACGTCTGGGTTCCATCCATTAATAAGATACACTCATGGGCTGCATGAAATAAAGCCATATTCAGCTTCCTGGTTCCTCACTCCTTGTTCAGAAAAAAATTTCCAGCCACTGCACTTACAAAGTGTTCCAAGAGTGAATAAAGGTTAGAAACACATGTTCCTGAGTCTGCAGGCAGACTCTGGAAATGGTAGAGAAGGGTGCAGCTTGCATCTCCTGTTAGCCTCACTGGCAGGTCAGCTAAAACACATCTGTTTAGTATCTGTTTTACTTAAAAAGGTGGATTTTGCACCTTTCGCACTGAGCAATCCATGCAGTGACAAAACCCACAATTACGGGAGCAAAACAGTTATTGTTGATCTTCATTGTGAGTCTCCCACTACTTTTAATAAGCATGATTCAGGAGAGAGAGGAGAATGGTATTCTAAATAGAGATTGTAATGTACAAAACAGGGGATTAGATCTCCCTTACTACATGAATTGGACCCCTGACAAACCTGGGTTTATTTCAGACATTGCAGCAGCATAGCTTTTTAGCAGATGCAAGGATTCAAGAAACCCACAGCTCTGAAGTCTCTTTGGCAGCAGCTACATACTACTTGGAACTATGAATCAATGTCGGTGACATAGTAACAACTTAAATTATTGAAGTAGCATAAAGCAAGATATTTTAATAAGCAAGGTGATCATTATGGCAGACTACTACACTTCCATACGGCTTGTATAATTTTCCACCTACTCGTACGGTGTTTAAAAAAAGAAAGAAAAGATGGTGATCAGCTATTTAATGTAATGTGCTATGCCATTTTGTGCCCACTGGTGGCTAATTCTGTCCAGGCTGCTGCCACCCAAGGGGACAGTATACTTCCCTGCCTGGTGTTTTGTCCCTGAAGAGATGGGAGCTACATACCTGCTACTGAGGACCTGACTGAAAAGCTCGAAGCAGAGGAAGCTGTTCCCCAGCCCAGGGGGGAGCCATAGCTGACGCCGCATTCGCTTGGTTTGCAGGGCTTCAGCTTTCACCAGCACCAAATGCTTTCTCAAACACGGCTCTGAGCACTACCCGGCTCTCCAGCACAGGGTATTTCAGACCTCCTCCAGTGCAGGCCGGGATCATGAGTCAGTCGGCCAGCTCAGATCAGAATGGCTCTGACCAGTCTGCTTGACAGATGAATCTGTACCGACACTGCTTTCTTAAAGTAGCAGATCCAAAAAGGGGGCACAACAAACTTCTCATCAAGTCAAGCAGATGAACTCTGCTCTGGTGGTTAAGTTTTACAGTTGCATCAAATCTGTTTTTCTGCACATGCTGCATTTCAGAGACTGAAATGCTGAACAGCGCGCGCTGCTTTTTATGCCAGACTGCTGGGACAATGCTGCTTCGGTTGCAGTTTCCACCATATTCTATCTACATGTTCTGCAAGAAGTTGGGCAGTGAATTTTTTTTAAGCACATTGTTTCTTTCCACCTTATCTCATCACTGTAATACCTTTTTTATCTCATCATTGTAATATATTAACCATGTGTCCACGCTGCTTCAGAAAGACAAAGAACGTAGCGCTTGTAGCTTATCAAGTGAAGCACGGGCACCACCGCTAGGTAGCACACGGTCACTGTAAAAGCTGTTACTGTTTCCCTTCATGCCCATCGGGCTGTGGCTATGGTACAGCAAAATTGTGACTGAAGATCTGATTACACCGCAGAAACAAGCAAGCTATTGTTGGCAAATGTATGTATTTTGAGCATTCCAATGCTCTTACTAAGTACTTCAGCAACTCCAGCACAACAAACAGATTTTACCAGTGAACGCTACCAAGAACGGAAAAGATGTACCAGTTCTCTCTGCTCCTTCAGCCCAAAGGCCCAAAGCTGCTTTGAACTTCTAGGACTCTGCCCACATAATCAATTCCACCACGACATAACAAGCCAATGCAGATGCATCGCAGTACGTAACGAAGAAATCTGAGTATTGCAACACCTCTTTAAATAGTTGTGGAGACACTAATCAGAAACAGAGAGCAAGAGCCAGTTTATAGAGACATGCCAGACCTGTGTTCTTATAGCGAGAGCTCTCAAAATCTATTACAGCATCAGTGAAGCAAAAGGTTCAAAAGAAAAACAGAACCATTATTGGCCTGAACATCTAAAAACTGGGTGAGATTAATTTCTTCAGAAACTTTTCACATAACTTTGGATTTTTTAATATACCTCTTAGGCTGAGTTATTTAGTGCTTTACCATCGATAGTTCTGCATAAAGAACACAGGGGATGATGGGGGAATCCTCCTGGTGCATATTTGTAGGCCAGGTTCCAAAAGCACTTGAAACAGTCACTTCCTTTCCCTGACCCAGCTCAAGAGAAGAGAGAAATTTGACTTGGGGCATGGGGGAGAGGAAGCAGAGTGAAGATAAAATTAAGAAATTTCAACAGCAATAGATGTCAGGATGCTTTTTGGATTAATGAAGTAGTTCCTTCCACTAAAGAAAACTCACTCCCACTTCACAAAAGAAAACCCCCACTATCAGCAGACTGTTCACAAACTTTTCGCAATCTGTAATACTTTGGAGTAGGCAGTTGTGTATAAAACTGCTTATCTCTTCCGTTAAAACCTTACATTAATTACACAAGAAAAAGAGAGATCAGGAGATCCAAAACTGTTAGTTTATTTTAATTATTATCCTGCACGGTCACTTCAGAAAAAGGGAAAGCATTTTCTGAATAAATTTTTCCTTTCAAAAACTCAACTGCATCTTCATTTGTCATTTCCTGAAACTTCTTGTTCAGGACCTGGAAGAAAGGAAAAGGAAAGCGTACATTAGTTTGATTGTCTTTAGCAAACTACCCTGTCCCACAAACCAAGCGCCCAGTGGCCATAGGGAGTTGCTGTATTTTGAAAACAAGTTGACTTGAATCATTCATTCTGTAAAAATCAGGGAAATAAGCCAAAGTCAGGTAGGTTTTTTAGGTATAAAGCAACTCAGTGGCTTGATTTTTTTTTTTTTGGCTGAACTATGATTGTATTTATTTTGCTGATAACGATAAGTGGTAGCTTGTCTTTTAGAGTTCCTCTGTCCTTTCTCCCTAGAGACACCGCCACTGCCTTCTAAGTAGAGATGATACACAATTACCACTCTGGAGAAGGCTCACCATTCCCTAACGAGGCCTGTACTACCAAACGAACATACTCCTCACTGTGCTGATAACAGGACAAAAACAGAGAGAATAACAGGACTCTTCTTACCAGAATCACATGATAGCCCAGTTTATTTAGATGCCTCTTCCTCATTGCCAGCTTCCCTTGGGGGTGCATTGTACCCACACAGAAGGCAGACAGAGGAACAAAGAGAAAAGCCAATCTACAACCAAGAAGAGTAGGGAAGACTCCATTTTACAAATGCAGAATAAGCACTCTAAGACAATGATTCAATGATGTTCTTTAACACTGCAGAATATATAGCTGTCTTTCTGGCAGGCAAAAATATGAAGACTGCACAAATTTCATTATCTTTTTCCTTCTCCAAACTTAAGTAATTTAGACCCTCTCTTCTTCCATGAGCTTCACGCAAGTACCAGGATCTACCCAAATACCTACAGCAGAATTAAGCCCTTAGATCTCCACTTATCCCACAACGAAAAGGAAACAGACCATTCAAAATTCTACATTATTTTGATGGCTTCTGCATTTACTTTGATCTTTTGCTAATATTCAGAATCAGTTGCTTCCTGCTATAAAAACCTGCTTGGGAGGGTGAGGAAAGCTGAATGCCTTGGAAGCCTGACAGTTACACAATTCACTAGCTCTCCTTTTCCCAAAAAGCAAACTATAAAAAAATACATTGCTGTGCAGTGATCCAGCACACAAATGTTAAGTATTATGCAATTCTACTTAAGTGTTACTTAAATGATATACGTCCTACTTCTGTTACTGAGAGGTCATTCTTCTACACAAGATTAAATTAATCACCTAAAATGTGGATATGATGATCCTTTTAATTCAAATTATATTTCAGCAGCTGAATTAATTGCCATAACATACCATTGAGATGCACATTTTAGAGACTTAAGAGAATAACTGAATGTATAACTGGACACACAAATATCTGGAATTTTAAAGCCCTAATGTAGCAATTTTTTGGAATGCATTTCAGTCATACTTCAAAACCTGTATCCATTACAAGAGTATCAGATTACTGTTATGTTTCCTGCCTCCTTCTCTGAAATGTTACGTTTTAGCCTCTGTTAGAAGAAGGTATCAAGCTGGATGAGTTGTTGCTGTGAACTGGCATGGCAATTTTTGTATATTACGGTGACCATAAGTAACAAGTTAGTTATATAGTTTGCTTCTGCAAATCAGTGAACCACAGACGTAACTAGATGGAATACATACAAATAAAACCAGCCTGCTATAAAAAATATGCAGTCAAAAAAGACACCTTTGAACACTTGAGTCAGCATGATCATCTGTTGCAGCTATTGGGAGCACTTTTTTTCTATCTGAATCCATTCTGATTTCAAAATCTGAAAACAAAACAACAAAACATTTAACACTGCAAGAGTTCAAAATGTTTTCAAATTAACAGCTCATTTGAAAAAGTTAACAGACACTGTCACTGCTCTGTTTCTAGTTGCTCTTCTCTAATAATTTACATATTACCGATGGCTTTTCCCTTCCTGCAACCAATATAAACAGCTCTAACTTGCACATCTCCAGAAAAAAAAAAACAAACAAACCCACATTTGTTTTTGGAAACTGTAGATATAACTTTATGGGAGTGAAATCATAGTTTAAAGAAATCAGTCTTGATCGCAGTCTGTCATACCTACTCAGATTTTCCTGTAATCCGATTCCTCATTAGAAATATTTAGGAAGAAAATTATTACAAATACAGAAAAATTGGTAAGCTGGGTGGCTGCCAAAAAAATAAGCAATATCAAAATATAAAAGAAACCAAATGTTATGAAATGATCACCTGTCAAAGAAGGTCATATCCCATTTCATAAATGAAAGTAGAATCCAAACCTTAGCCAGAGCTTCACAGAAGAAACAAGTCAGAGAACAAAAGAAGGCTGCTGTTTGGCTTTGTTTCTAATGTGATTTAGTACTAACATGTCAACTCTCTAGAACAGTTGGCCATATTGGATTTATGTACAATTAACATCTGCTCGTTGATGCTTAACAAAAAGTCCAAAGCAGTTTTGTAAATAAAAGCAATCATAAAGTTTTAGTAAATTGACTTAAATACTCTAACAGAAGCATCCTAGCAAGTAGATTCACCAATCAAGGACATAATTTGTTAAAAGGTTGTGTCTTCAAAGCGTTACACTTTTACTCACTTGCACCCTACGCAAATTTGTTACCACCTTATTATTCTGGGAATTATAAATCTACATTAAAAAGGATATGACAGTAATTTGGCTTCATACCAATATGATATTTATATGGCAGCTGAACATTTTGCCGAAACATGCTCTCATCTCCCAGAAGTTCTATCAGTGCCTCCCGAGCCTTTCTGAGATTAAGAGATACTAATGAGGAGAACGTCTCAGTCAGCACAAATGCAGGCTTCGTGAAGGAAGGGCTATCAAGTTCCATACATGCTTTCACACAGCGAAGCATCATTTCCTTTTGTTCTTTGTAAAGATCATCTGAAAAAGGATACAAAAAATATTACATCCAATGTATGACCCCACAGAATTTTTCACATTATTGTCATTCACAGTCTGTTCTGGCAGAACAAATGAATTTCAATATAGGAATCAAAACCCAATTGCTTTCTCACTGAATATTATTGAGTATCTTCAATATATTGTTAAATATACACCATCAATTCCCTAATTATAACATTAAAGTCTACAGCTGGGACTTGCCCATTTATCCAGTCTTTCCCTTCTACTGTACACAGCTTTGTGCATGCTATCAGTTATAACAGGAGACTTAAGGAGAACACGGAATGAGAGAGCATGCATAAAAACCATTTATAAAATCCAGACAACTAGAAGGCTATTTATAAATCGAAGAAGGGATATCAGACTTGGCCATGATTTTGAAACTGTACTTTAAGAGTACTAAGCCGCACAAACTCTAAGCAGTTACAGCTTTACGGTTCAGTCACAGCAGGCTCAACAGCAAGACGCAGTGTTTTACTCTACATGAATTTCCACTCCGCTGAACTACTCTACTGGCTGTAGAGAATTGTAATGTGGAAACGAAGTTCTACTACAAACCATTCCAAGTTTCTCATTATAACTCAGAGCAGTCAAAAAAACCTCATGATTCCAGGTACTAAAGTTGGTTTACAAAGGTTAAGACTTCCTGTGTTTTTAAAAATGCCTGAACATCTGTCGAAGATAGAACCCCTGGCTCTTACACATTTCTACCACTTCCACAAATTTCATATTCACGTTTCTCCATGTGCACACCTACTATTAAACTGTTGCCACTATGGGGCCCAAGACAATAAGCCTGGTGCCCTAGTGCAGAAACAGATCACTTAGATCACCATCACTACGTTAGCTTTGTCTTGAGGACTTCAAATTTAATATTAATGATGTTTGCGTTCTTTCATGTCTAAACTTCTAACACAGTTACCACAAATTATGTATGGAGGCAGACTATCCCTTTTAAAACAAGAACGTGACAAAGTAAGGCCTGACCTGACTGTAGAAGCTCATTCCTGC